TGTGCGGTGTGTGTGTGTGTGTGTGTGCGCGCGCGCGCGCGCGCCCCAACGTCAATCTTAAACTGACGTTACGCGCTTAGCACCCTTTGTCGGTCGAGTACGCGAGGCTCGCTTCGTGTTTTCCGACTTTTCCAATCGAAATCTCCTCGTCGTCGGTACGATCGAACGACGCCGGCATAAAGCGGAGCAATTGTCGCGTTCGGTAACTAGGTTAGAATCATTTGTTGTGCGCTGCGCGTTCGGAGAGAACCAAAAGAGAAATAGAACAGAGATTAAAAGAGTTGGCTACTACGCGGATACGCTCGAATAAAAACTCTTTCGGAAAAGCGTGCGGAGCCTGTACGTGTACCCGCCGCGAGACGACCGTTTTTCGAAAAGTGCACCGACAATATTGGAAAAGAAACGAATTCAACGTACGCCCGATAGCTCTTCCCGCGCGAGGCACGAGTATCGTCGGACTCTCCTCTTCTAACTACCAATGATAGAAATACTGTACATCAGTCCGTTTGAAACTTTTTCAGTTCGACTTTGGGGGCCCTACGATACGGGTTGCCGCGGGAAGCGGTATCGTCTCGCGTCTATTTCAATATCGCAATCGATCCGAAACACGGGTCAAATCGAAACGAACGAGTAAGATATTATACAAACTATAAATACACATTTCTTTTCCTTTGTTTCTTTCATCCCTCCGCGGAAGTCGGAATTAACCCTCGATAGCCGAACGATACGCGAAGCGAATACGTAATTCGCGAGACGTCGTTACGGATCGCCGTGCGTCGGCGATAACGGAAATTTCTGAAAAATTCATTGTTCCAACGGTAAAAATGTTTACACCAGTGAAAAAAGAAAAACAAAAGTGGTCCGCGAGTCGACGCGAACCCACCAGGCGCGATCGTCCGTCCAACGAATCGCGTCGTCGGTGTCGCAAGGGTTAATGTCCTCCGTTCTTTTTAAAAAGAAAAAAAAGATAGTCGAGCGAACAACCCTTATTTCGCTTAACGGTACGTCGTGCGAACATCACACGGGAACCAATCGCTTCGATGCTAGCCTTTTAAATAATAACGTATCGAGAGCTAATGTAATGACTGTTGTGGTATTTATAAATATGATTCTTCTCTGGTAGTTTCTGTGTTTCTTTCTCTCTTTTTTCTGTCCGTTTCCGCTTCCGTTTCCTCTTCCTCTTCCTCTTCCTTTTCCTTTCGCTTTTCCTTCTCCTTTTCCTTTTCGTTTACTTTTTCATTTTGATCACACGAGAAAAATTACACACGACCTACTGCTACTTATAAGGGAGTCCATTGCTTCTTTTTCTTTTTTTACATCCATCGGTGTACGTTCGCGAAACTCAATGGCGATCGACTTTCAAAGAAACTTCAAGGAGATTCAAAGGAAATTCTCTGTCGGTAGAAAGCAATGGATATATCTGATATATCTGATATCGTTACGAGAACCGCGTACGTACGTATGTATCTTGCAGTTGAAGGGATCAATGTACCAGCGTGTGCCTTTGTCTAAAACAGGTGTTCGCAGCCTTGGTTTTTCTTGCTGGCTTAGAAATTCGCTAAACAACTTATCAGAATTGTACAAAGACTTTGTATTACTTGTTTTCATTACTATTGTACAGACTTTACCATATAAATCCTATAATTATGTTTACGATTGACAATACGTGCTAATATTTTACTGTAAAATTACCACAATCTCCTTTTTCCGTTGGTGTTTGTTCTTCTTTGTTTACATCCGATACATTCCCCTCGATTAAAGCACCAGATACCGCGCGCTTTCGTTTCCCATTCCAATCGACCAAACAAAAACAATATCCGGCGTGCAATGGAATCGTATGGAAATTAGAACACAATTGTCCAAATATAAAATTCTAACCATTGGGACGACGTATCTCCATATTCTACGGTTCCTTGAATAAAATGTATTTTTTACTAGTAGAACTGTACACTCGATACCGGAAACATTAACAACACACCATTCCAACGTTTTATACAAAGTATTCTTTACCTCAGCCTCTGACATTTGAGCATAGATATAATATATCGTTAATGGATATCATTGCACAATGCGTACATAAGACTGTGTCTGCCTTCTATCGAGTTTCCGAATATACATGGTAATAATAACGTTTACTCGGTCACTCGAATCGTCTCCACTACGTCGAATGGCTGAGACCACCACACAGTGATTCCTTCAAATATCTGCAAAGTAGTAGTAGTAGTAGTAGTAGGAGTAGTAGTATGGATGCTGTTTCGGTTGGCGGATCTAATCTGCGAGCGTCTCTGCTCTCCGATGGATCAGAAGGAACACGCGACGTACGCCTCTCTTATATTGAGCAGAAAGCTAGACGTATCGAGTTTGGTTTGGCCGTTGACGAGTAACAACTATTGCAGGACGACTCTGTGGTCGCCGTTTGGATGCCTGTCGGCGTTCATCGTCCGTTCCTAATCCTTTTCCTTCCGGTTCTTCCCGTCGAGTATTGGTCCTTTGCCGATGGAGTTGGCTGGTTCGTTGCCCACTTATCGTCTATCGTTATATATTACAATAATATTACATATAATACTATCCATGTATATTAAAATATTTAACAGTAAGCGCCGTGGCAAACTGTGTGATTTTCCGATAGAAAAAGAACCAAGAGACGGCGTTAGTCTTTGACATAGTCGAATTCACAAAAATCCAAGGTAACGTTAGTCTTACAGATTGGCGAATTCACAGCACATGCCCAAACAAGATGAGCCGAAAGAAAGAGCAGGTGTCCACCGCGGACTGCGAACGATCCGGGGGACTGGCATCAGCCGCTACAAAGATATCCTTTACCTAAGATGGCTCGGCGAGCCCGGTCCAGGATTTTGATTAATCATTAGAGGATACTGCAACAGCAGTAGCTCTTCTTCTCTTTCTCGGGGCTGAAGTTCATTTCGCGTACAATCTCGGCGAACACGTCGTTGACGTTGGTACGGTTCTTCGCGGACGCCTCGACGAACGGGCAGCCCCAGGCTTGCGCCAGAGCGGTCCCCTCGGCGGTGTTCACCTCGCGCTGATGCTCCAGGTCGAGCTTGTTCGCGACGAGCAGCACCGGCACCCGTTCGGTGCCCTTGACGCGCGTGATCAATTCCTTCATCGCCTTGATGTCCTGGAAGGTCTGGTGGTTCGTCAGGCTGTACACGACCACGAACCCCTGCCCGTTCTTGATGTAGAGATCGCGCATACTCGCGAACTGCTCGGTACCGGCGGTGTCAAGGATCTCGAGCACGCACGGCGAGTTGTCCACCTCGATCTCCTTCCGGTAGAAATCCTCGATGGTCGGGTCGTACTTCTCCATGAAGCATCCCGAGACGAATTGCACGGTGAGTGCACTCTTGCCTACCCCGCCCGAACCGAGGACGACTACCTTGAACTCGCGCATCTCTTTGCCAGTTCGCCTCCGACTCTTCCTCCGCCTCCTTCTCCTCCGCGACGTGTCCAGGACCGAGAGGAAGGTTCCCTCGGCCGAGTATCTGCCCGATTACACGCAGAACGATCGTGTTCGTTGCTCGAAAGAACCGTGGCGCGGTCGGGCCAACTGTGGCCGCTACTAACTCCGTCCTCGTATGCTCGAAGCGAACGCGCTCGAACGAGAACAGCTCTTATTGCCGAACAAAGGCATCGATGATGCTCTACCGGAGAGAGACGAGATAGGATCACGCGTCAACTTTTCACCGCGTCGATCGAAACGCAACCCAGTTCGTGTAGCCCGAACAGGACATGACAGCACCGTACTCGCACTCTGTCACACACCGCAGTCCCCTGGCGACGTTCGCCTGGCCTGCCTGCCTGCCTCTCTTTCTTCCTGTCTTTCCTCTGCCCCTCACTTCTTCCCTGGCTCTGACGTGCGTGACGCCATCTTATCGCGCTTTGGATTTTCTTCGAACCTCCTGCTGGCAGACTCGAGCATCGGGCATCGAGAGAGCACCACTCTACCACCTCTGTCTCCGCTTCCTCGTTCGCTACTACTTTGTGCGGCTGGCCAATATATATTGGCCCGACACTTATCTCGCCGGAGCCAAAATCGAGTCCCTTCGGTCGCGTTTCCAACTCGCCGGCCGACCGTGCGGTTTCTCCGGAGAGGAGCCACCCATTGGCCGAGGCCGATCGGGACGAGCGCGGCGGACGAGTAGCCGACGAATAGCGGGCCGGCAAGGCGCGGCGGCGCGCCGACCAGCCTGGCATCCGCTCTTTCTTTCTATAGAAAACCGTGCCCGAGGAAAACGGTAAGAGAGGAATCACGGAAACTCCCTTTACCGGATGCAAGTGTCATTCTCTTATCTTCCAGACAGCACTCTATCCACGACCTCGACGTTCCCAACCGTTCAAGTGAGTTTTATTAATATTACCAAACATTCCTTCGAACGCGTTTTCTCGGCTCCTCTTTCGAGCTATATTCCTCGCGTGCACTTGGACAGGTTTCCTGGTTATTCGC